AGTAAAAATTGCAAAATAAAACAAAAATACTACATCTTTCTGAAGAAAAAAAAAAAGTCAGAAATCATGAGATTAAATAAATTTTGTATTTGGAGTAATTTTTTCCTGTTCAGGTTTACACATCTTAAGGTAACCTAATGCAGAGTAGACAAATAACGTCAATTTAATATTTCCCAAAACAAATTTTGCTAATTCTACTTTTTTTTTTTTTCATTTTTCTTCAGAGAAGATCATGATGTTTGGAGTTCTGTGTCATCAAAAAGAATCCTCCCTCAAGTTGTTCCAATCCTGTATGAGTTTCTTTTTTTTCTTCTGTCGAACACAAAAGATGATATTTTGAAAAATATGGGTAACCAAACAGTTGATGGTAGCCATCAACTTGTGAAGTAATTTTTTCCATTCTATTCAAGTCAATGTTTACCAGTTTTGGTTACCAACATTCTTCAAAATGTCTTCTTTTGTGTTGAACAGAAAAAAAAAAAAAAATTCATACGGTTTGAAACAACATGAGGGTGAGTAAATGATGACATTTCCATTTGTGGGGGAACTATCCCTTTAAATAGAACATATATGGGAACTATGGGAGCTGTGAAAGAGAGCACTCAGCAAAACCTTTTCTTCTGGGTGGATTTAAAATAAGCTCTAGTTCCTTAAACACAGTTTTCTCACTGTTCAGAAGTTCTGAATAATAAATACAAAACCAGAGGAAATGACAACATGACAACACGAATAGTCCTTCGCTAGCAAGTGTCCCGAGCTGTGACGTCAAAAGCAGCAGACAAGAAAAAGTCATGCTTTAGAGCACTTCAAAATAATGCATCAGGCACTGGTACAACATTTACTGTAACACAATTAAATATTACCCTTTTCTTACCATCATTTTCTCAAAGATCTTGCATAATACTTCTTTCCTTTTAGACTTAGTCTGTCGATTCAATTCTGATTTACACTGGGTTTTTTTCCTCATGTGAAGCGCGTCACACAGGAATGCGTCTCAGCACTCTGTGCAGAGCGTGTGGTTAACGGTCCACATGTGCAGGCCTGCTCTCATTGAAGCTCTGATGACTTATTCTGTGAATACAAGGCCCACATGGAGCAATTAAACAAAACAACTCCTTTAGTCACGGGAGACAAAGCCAACAGCTTCAAAAACACTGGAAGAGGCACCTGGATGATTTGCAAATGAGAATATAAAATGAAGTCAGTCTCTATTCGGGTTTATTTGACAAAGTCATGACTATAAAGCCATTTTAGTTAAAGTCTTGGCATACATACAGTAATGTGTTACATGGTTTTCATCAGTTAACAACATCCATGTGTTTCTGTCAACATGTTTGAACCGGAGTGCTTCTGCTGAAGGCTGTACCCCACTGGAAGCTCCTGAGGGAATTCCTGCTGCTTCCTGCATTTACCACAAATCACAATCTGTCCGTAACAATGAAAGCTGGACAGCCAAACTGCGTAATTCCTGTTGAATGATCATTTGTTGACCTTACCTCTGGCCATATATGAGTCATTATACATTCATTTATTTATATAGCCTTGCTTCATAACCAGTGCTGGTAGTGAATGTTGTACAAATGTGTCCATGCATTCTTAGTCTTTCAATATTTCATATAGTGAGTATGCACCAATGGCCCATTCCAATAGATAAATTCAGTTCATATTGTTTGTCTCACTCTCTACCACCTTTTGCTCTGTTGCTAGAGTGATAAAAACAACATGATGTAATTTCCAATACATCTCTTTACACAACTACGTTCACTGAATGTCCAATGCATATTTCACACAAAAATGGCAAGCGCTGCCTGGAAATGAAAGCTTTATAAGATACTGGGTTGAAACAATGAGCACTTTTGAAGAAGAACATGTTTGATTTACCAAAATTTGGGTTGGAGGCATCAGTTCATTTAAAGATACTGAGTTTTGCTTGAGCCACTTAAAAGTAAGGTAATCTATTATATCTGAATTATATCTGTATTGAAATAATCTAGAATGATTGCTTTCGGACAGGAATATTTATTTGTATTTATTATTTATGCATGCATGCATGCTGTTGTAGGCAGTCACTGCTGTGCAATTTAAAAAAAAATATTACATTTACAAAATTATTTATTATTATTATTGTTATTATTATTGGCCTATTCTTGTGATATCGACTAGTTTCAGAACATGAACATGCCAAAATATGCTTAAATGCTGCAAATCAAAAGTTTGGCTACTCAAGACTAGGATGACATTGATGAGCAGAAAATATCTTGCTATGCCAGAGAGGAAGAGAAAGCTCAAAGTGAGAGAGACAGAGAGCTCTTCACCAGCAGGAAATGTCTTTCAAGTTCAACAGTTTGTGTAAACACTGATCCTCAGGCACTGAGAAATTTATGTCATTTAATAACTTCTTTTTTTTTCCCAGGGAGTGTGAACATACTGTTCTGTATTGCTATAGGAAACAATTACAATCATAACACTTCATTTAAAGGAACAGGGCAGTAGACAAAGCATGAGAAAACAGGTTGAAGAAATGTTTGTCCAGCAATCTTTTCTGCTAGTGAAGTGTTTTATATTCGGGTTTGTGTTTTTTGTTTTTTTGTTTCACCAAGGCTGCATTTATTTGATCAAAATATAAAACAGTCATTTTAATATATTTTAAAACGTAAAGAATTTTCAGCAGTCAGTCCTCAATGTCACATGATCCTTCAGAAAACATTCAAATGTGTGGATTTGGATTTGTGTTATTGGTGTTCAATTATTAATAATAGTTATTATTATCATCGAAGTTGAAAGCTGCTGCTGCTGTTATAATATAATACATTGTTGTGAAAACCATGATGCATTTTTTTTCAGGATTCTTTGATGAAAAGTACAAAAGAACAGCAACTATTTGAAATAGAAATCTTTTTGTACCATTATAACAACCTGGTCTCATAGAAATACGTACCTCTGTGTACTTTTTATGCAACACCGTTTTCACGTACCTTTTCACACGTTTCGCCGCAGTTTCAAAGAGAAATGTCCACTGAGTGGCGCTAAAACACGGGTTCAATACGTGAACCCTGGCACTTTTTTATTACGTTGATATAGGTACATATTGCTGTTTTTATTACGTTGCTTCAGGTACGTATTGCGGCGGTTCAGAATTCAAATATGTTGCTAAACGTTAATGCTCTATCGTGTTGGAAATATTCCCTAC